CACAAAGCAATTATCAGCATTGATCATCAGGATCCAAGTGATCAAGTCACCTACAGTATGTAGATTGCCTCGTTACGACCCCTGATTGATCACTTTGCGAGCGGATTGATTGACAGTGTGATGGAAAAGCTATTTAGGAAAGTCCATGAGGGATTATGGGAACGCTGACGTCAGAAATGAACACATGCTGTAGATTCAGTGCGGTGCAAGGTTAATTGTGTCGTGTCAATATTAATAATAAACTACTTTGTTTCCCTGCTCCTTGACCATGTGTGCGCTGGTGTCACTCTCTGATCGTTTCATCTGCTCATGCTTCAACCCTCCATCATCGCCATCGCCATCATCATCATCGTCGTCTTCTTTTCACCTTGTCAGAACGGAGGTCATGTAGGAGAGGTAAAGACAAGTGCCCGCGTTTCCCCAACTCTCTTTACTCTTCCTGTGAGTAGTGGAAACCAGTCAGAGCTGGCTGTGTCTTGCTGCTGAGCCGTAACAAGGACGCAGTTCCAGGGCCGGGACAGGGAGAAAGGGCACGGACAACAGCCAGGAGGAGGGCTTGGGCATCCTCTTTCAGTGTGCAAATCATGCCCCAGCGTCCCCTTGCTCAGACTGATCAGAGACAATCACCCTTTTTAAGAACGTCTGTAATATAGTAGAGATTGCGTGGCTTTTGAATGTGTGTGTACTTATCGTAAGATGTTTATTGTGGGGAAAAAATGTTATTGTGATAGAAACAAACAAGGACAAAACAGCTGTGCCTGGCTTCCGGCTTTGACTGTGTACCCACAGTGAGTGGAATTAGAAGGTTTTTAGGTGGTAGAAAAGGGGCAAAGAAATCTTTATGCTTAATACTCATGACAGATGCCTTGGTCTGCAGTTTCCTTTGCATGTGTGGGAAGTGAGCTCAAAGTGCTCTGTCTCCGCCCTTGTCCCCTCCCTCTCCCAGAGCTCAGAGGACAGCTCCAGGATCTCCATCACCTTCTTCCGCCTCTTCCGGGTGATGCGGCTGGTCAAGCTGCTCAGCAAGGGGGAGGGCATCCGGACGCTGCTCTGGACCTTCATCAAGTCCTTCCAGGTC